CGTACACCCTGCCAGTGCCAACTCGTCTCGCCGCCGCTGCAGATGAGCCAAGCCCTCTCTGCTCTGACACACCGGGGTGGTCAGTAGCTGTCCCACTGGCAGGGGTGTGAGAGGGGCAGGGCACTGGCAAGCACAGCCAGGGCTTTCAGCCCACATCCTGCATCCTGCGTGTGTGTTCTTGAACGCTGATGCTCCAGCTCTCAGTCATGTGCGAATGCAGCTGTGCAGAAAGAGGGGTATGCTCATGAGCCAGATCAACTGGAGGAATCTCACGTTTATCTCAGGGAATAAAGTGATCAATCAGAAGATTAGTACTGACTGCGCTGATGCTGGTTATCGTATTCTCTTCCCAACCCCATCTTCCCTTTGCCCCTGCAGGACCCACCTTCAGGACCTAAAAGAAGTGACCCACAACATCCACTATGAGACCTATAGGGCCAAGCGTCTGAATGACAACGGAGGGCTGCCCCCCATGGCTGTCGAGACAGAGGAAAACCACGAAAGTAACCTGTGAACAACACACCCCCCACACACCCGCTGTCGCCCGGTGTCTCTGGATGTGACAACCCACCCCTGCTACCCTTGACTCCGCCGTGGGCCTGTCTCCGACGCACGTGGCGCATCCTCCGTGCGCGTGAGAGGATGCGAGCGTGAGTGCGTGTGTCTGTGCGTGCACCCACCGGAGAGGGGCCGAAGGCGTCTCCCCCATCCCCTCCCCAGTGTCCTCATCCTCGGTTTGTGTTTTTGCACAGCGGACTGTCCGTCATCTTCCTTTCTCTTGTTTGTGTGTCTCAGCTGTGTCTTGCCCAGAGGAAATAGGGAAGGGGGGGAAGGATTTGGGGGGGCAGGTGGGCTTTGGCGGTGGGAGGCGTGGGGCATGCTGTGGTTCTGGTTTTAATCGCTTGGAGATAGGGCAAGGAAAGACTCCAGGAGAGACGGTGGAGTGGGTGCATGCAGTGACTTCAAGTGATGGCAGCAGAGACTTCTCTTGGGTCCTCAGTGGGCAGGAAGGCAGCTGGCTGGTCTGAGGGCATGGCGGCCCAGCATTTTATCCCGTTTCTTGTGGCTTTCCAAGGGGAAATAGCAGGTTGGAAGTGGATAGTTGGGAGAAGTGACAGAATGACATGGTTTGTGGTTCAGGTAAAGTGACCGGTGGGAGGAGGCAGAATTAGTTCTTGGGTTGTAGCATCTATTTGGGAAGCATCAAAGTACTTGGAGAAAACAGCCATATTTTCCAAAATAAGCAAAACCCAGAAGAAAAGAAAGTGTTTCTGCTGCAGAGGGTGCCCTTGCTCCACCCAGCGATCTGGGATCGACAGCCGTGCTCGAGTGTCACAGGCTTTTGATGCCGTGCAGCTCCCAGCTCAGACCAAGCTACCCCGAGGTCACACCACCAGCGCAGCAGTCCCGCCAGGCTCTCTGCTGGCCCCGGGCAGGTCCCAGACGAACCTTCCCCCCACAGCACGGCCCCATTGCTGTGGGAGCGTGGGGAGGACTGTGCCACGGGGGTCCCTGGTGGGGCTGCCCCAAGGGACAGCTTCACTTGGCACAGGGCTTTCAGGATCTTGGCAGGAGAGCCATGGAGGGAGAAGCGCTTGGCCAGGGTGGGTCTCCACTGGTGGTGGGAACACGAGAGAGACCTCCTCCTCACTGAACCAGCTGCATGTGCTGCTCCAGCAGCCTCAGCCTGTGCTGCTCCTCCGTCCTCCTACTGCCCTCCTAGCTTCCATGTCCTCCTCTCCTGTGCTTTTGTCCTCAGTCCCTTTCAGCCCTCCATAGCTTACTTCCTTCCCTTCCCTGTCTCACTTTCTCTGCTCTCAACCCTTTCTGTCTCTCCTTTATTTCTCTGAGGATTTGAATCTTCCTCTTCTCCAGGATGTTTCCTCCCTCTCCCAGCTCTCACACCTCCTTATCAATGTGCCGGGTTCAGAAGCTGTTATTTTACCTTCCCCCCAAGGGGACAGGGAGAGGCGTTAAAGACCCAGGAGCAGAAAGAGGCACAGCTTTGCTGAAGATTATGTGCCCGTGTCAGCTCTTTTCTGTCCCTGATCCAGGCGGAAAGTGTCAGGGATGGCTGGGAAGAAGGGAGGAGGGGAGAAAATCACAGATGTCCTGAGCTTGGCAGTCTCTGTCTGTCACCTAGCATGTCCCACAGCTGGCAGGGGCTGTCACCTCCAGGTGAATAGGCGGTTGCATTTAAAATGCACATGCAGAATGCCATGGCACAGTACTGCTGGGAGTCAGGGGAAGTGCAGTGTGTTTGGGATGGGGGTTGGAAAGGATGGCACAGGAGGGAGGAAGAGGTCCCAGTGAGGGAGTAGCAGGGCAGGACTCGAGCCAAGCCTGAGGTTGTTAACAGATCTTTATGGGGGCCAGGGCTGGGAAGAGGGTGCTCTAAGCCTTAGCAAAACCGTCTGAGTGTGTGTCCATCTCGTGGCTTTCTCTGGTGCTGTCACCACAAAGCAAAGGTCTCGTCACTCTCACTCCCCCCTGTCCACACAAATCTCAGCACTGCTAGGATGTGCAAGCTAGAGCAGCCCTTCACAGTCCTCCCACCCCCCGCGTTCACAGCTCCCAGTGTTCTGTACGCAGTGTGTGTGTACAGCACACCCGCCTTCCCGCCTGCACCAGGCCTCCTCGGCCCCACAGAGAACAAAAACCTCGTCACCGGTGCCAGCAGCTGTACCACAGACATTGCAGAAGCCATCCTACGCTGCTACCCATCCTGCCACCCGCACTTGCCGTATCCACAGCCCAGCGCAGGGTCAAAGCCTCCTCCCAGCTTCTCTCCACCGGCTGCCGAGGCATGGACATGGCCCCAGCATCACCGCCAGAAGCATCTTCTCAGCCTACTCTGCTGTGGCTGCTCCTGCCTGGCGTCAACATCATGTTTTAACGCCAGTGCAATAGGAAAGACTCCCCCGGGGCTCCTCTTCACTGCACTGAGGCACGAAGCCACGCTCTGTCGTCTTTGGTGGGGGCGTGTGGAGGTGTTCCCTGCACTTGTTTTCTCACACAGCGCCCTTTGGCAGCCACGCCACTGCTCTCGAGGAACTCTCGCTGCTGGGCTGCAGTATGGTCATTTCTACAACTTTTGGGCTTGAACAAGGGTCACGGCAGAGAGCCAACACTGCCCTGATTAATGAAAGCCAAGCAGGCCCCACGTAGCAGAAGAGAGGTTTACCTTTGCCTGTAACGTGGACTACAAGGACAAGGCTGTGTGTTTTGCCCTGTGTGTTTAGGAATTTTTGTTTGGTTGTAATAAGATGGTTTTTAAGCTCTGCTCTGTAATTTCCTGTCAGATCATGGACTACTTCTAAAGAATCCATAAAGACTGAGAAAAGCAAGCTCAGGTATTCCTCACTGCCATCCGCTCATGCACATATCCTACCGGTATCCGCCTATCTACCAGGTGGTCTACAAATGGCAAATACCAGAATTTCCCGTTTTGCACAACAGCGGGAGATACTGTTGGCAAGAAGTCTCTGCCCATGGATAAGCTGTGAAAATCCTGAACAGATCCCAGCTCCCGTGTGCCACCAGCTGAGCCCTGGGATGACCGCAACATGCCAGACGTTCCCCTCGGAGATACCACTTGAAGGGTATCCTAAGGGGTAGAGTCTAAATTTTACACCAGAGGGACCAACTCAGGGTGTTCAGAGACTCACGAACTCTTCACCGCATAAGCCATTCACCAGAAAAACTGTTGCAAGGCAGGGTAAATCCCAAAGGTCTTGTTTTTTTTACACCGGACAAATTTTGCTTAGGCTGGGAGGATAACGACCATCGCACAGGCGTTAAAGAGCACGGAGCAGGAAGGCCGAGCAGCGCTATGAGTAGGCACTGACAAATTTTGCTTAGGCTGGGAGGATAACGACCATCGCAGAGGCATTAGAGAAAAGAGCACGGAGCAGGAAGGCCGAGCAGCGCTATGAGTAGGCACTAGTGTTTGTGATTACGGGTGAGGCCAAGTCACTCACCCGCCACAGACGCGCTGCCACCACCTTTCCCACCCCAGCAGAGGTCTCGGACAGCGGGAGGAGGCGCTGCGACGGCTACGCCAACAGAGGACGGCAAAAATCTCGCTTCAGCCGGACACCAGACCCGGGGGTTTAGGGAACGCGTCTTCCCCGGCCGGCCCGGACCTCGCTG